CTAAAGATCAGCTTGATTAGCAAACACAAGAACGGACTTACGGTTGCCAAAGTTGCGATCACAAGTATGATGTATGTTTTTTGACTGAAGGTCCAGCACTGGTTGTTGTAGATTCATTCCCAACATAAGGAGCAATGAATTGTCTCACATATCGGTTGAGCCTTACATTTCACATTTGTTTGATGGACCATGTGGTTCTCATGCCAGACCTTTAGACGAACTTCATAGTCGTATATAACGAGAGAGTTTGGAAAAAGTATTTCTTGTGATGTGATGTCTTTCAGGAAGGCACAATGCGTTATAATGCATGCTTCCACCAGCTGCGGTGTTGCACTGCTTGTAACAAGGAGTCCGCCTTGCAAGCATTGTACTTGTACTGGTCTTGCTAATGAAGAATCGGCCAATTTCGTTGTGTTCTCAGCTGGGTATCCATAGTAAATTTTGCACGAACATGCAGAAATCCGGGACGCAACTGTATCTCTATGTAGACCATCGATTCTCATAGGAAACGATTACTTCTGGGACATGGTGCTGTCAGAGAAGTTTTGCTACAAAGTGCTTCCAAATGGATGTCGTCTCCTTCATACCAACCTTGGTGACATTTTTGTCGGTAAAGGCCTCCACCTCCAACATTCCGTAACATATTCTTCCCTACCTGCAAGTGACGACATTACCAACCCGGTCCATCACGACAAAGTATACTTGTACAACTTGTAAGCAAGTTTTGGGAAATGGAAGCTATAGGCATAATGGACGATCCCGATCAACAAGATGACGATGTTTGTCTTCAATTTTTCAACAACACCATTACTTACAACGAAAAGGACAAGCGTTATGTCGTCAAGTTGCCCTTCAAGTCTGACCCAAGACAACTCCCCGACAACTTCGCCTTAGCCTTTTCACGCCTCTCCAGCCTTTTCAGATCACTACAGAATAAGCCGTCTTACATGCAAAAGTATGACGGCATAATCAAAGATCAACTGCAGAGGAAAATTATTGAAGAAGTACCACCGACGGAAAAAGAGAAATTTTCACATTATCTTTCCCATCATGGAGTGATAACTAACGAAAACGACAACATCAAGGTGAGATGTGTATTTGACGGTTCTGCTAAAACGAAAGGAAGTCAGAGTATCAATGAAATACTCTATCGAGGACCTGTACTATTACCGGACCTGACTGGTATCCTTCTCCGTTGCAGACTCTGGCGCACTTTAATAATTAGCGATATCGAAAAAGCATTTTTGATGGTAGCACCCCACTCCGACTGTAGAGACTACACTCGCTTCTTGTGGCTTAAAGACGTTACAAAACCGATAAGTTCCAGTAATTTGATCATTTGTAGATTCACTCGCGTACCGTTTGGTCTTATTTGCTCGCCATTCCTCTTGTCAGGTACCATTCATCACCATATGACAACAACAGCTACAACGCTCTCTCAAAACCTTTTGCGCAACACCTACGTCGACAACGTTTTTCATGGAGTCCAAGAACCACATGAAGGAAAGGAATTCTACATCGAATCAAAGAACCTCTTCCGACAGGCAGGAATGAATTTACGGAAATTCGCTAGTAATTCTTCAGACCTGAACAAGTTCTTCGAAGCAGAGGAAGACGAGAAAGTTCCACAGATACAAAAGTTACTTGGCCTCCAATGGAACACTTCCGAAGACAAGCTTTCACTAACTCTGCCTCAGAAACCACCAAAAGAAGGTATGTGGACGAAAAGGAAAATTTTAAAAGAAGTAGCCAGTATATATGATCCATTGGGATTTCTAACTCCTTTCCAGATCACAAATTTAGAAGACAGTTATGGATCTAGATGTATTTTGAGTAGCTGAATCGAATGGAA